GACAATTGAGTAGGTGCGACCGATAAACAGTCATGTGCCCACCAGAAATAGAAAAATATATATTGGTGCACTTGAAAACGACTGGCTGGCTAAACAGCAGCAACGACAGCGTCGGAGGGCATGTTCCCTGTTCCTGTTGAACAGAACCTATCGTCGCACTTGCTTCATTGGTTTGTGTCAAGCACAACATTCAGCATAGGAATACGATGAACACACGGTTCATGGCGACTAGTCAAGCAGCCACAGCAACAACGCGAAAGAGCAACAGAGAGAGGCACACAAACATGAATCATCACGGCCACACGCATGCTGTCCGCAACACTGCCGAGTCACAGTGCTCCTTGATGCGAGCCACCGTCAACACGGCCTCGTTCCAGGCTTGTCGGGTCTTGACCACGACTCGCTTGATGCCCTCCTCTTCGCACTCAGGGTCGACCAGCCGGTTCTTGAAGTCGACCATCTCGGCCACGACCTTATTGATGTCTTGCCCTGTCTCGAAAACGGCCTGTTCGGCCTCCTCCTCGTCCTCCTGAAGGACAACAAGGGGCCAAACGCCAACAACACGCATGAAGGAGAGAGGCGCGGGTACATTAGAATTTGCGTCAGTCACCAGGTGCAAATCGTTTGGGCATGTTTGCTTGTTTGTATGGAGCAACGATTTCCTTGTTGGTTTGGACGGGGCACGCCAAAAGGAAATGCGACGACGTTCGTTCGTTGTACGTACCAAGGTGCACACGCATGTTGGTCAGTACTGCTGGCACGCACAGCCAAGCAAGAAACCCGCACTCACCAGAGCCTCCTGCTCGTACGCCTTCGCGTCCGCAAGGCGCTTCTCGCACTTCGAAACGTCGAACATGGCCTGGTTGTACTCGTTGCAGGCTCGCTGCGCGTCCATCCTCTTGTTCGCCTGTGCTGTGCGGAACAGGTTGAACGCCGAGATCATCGCCGATACCCTCACCAGCTTTTCCTCGGCCAGGGCGAGTTCGCGCGCGTCGATCGACGGCCTGGTGCCGAGGCACGGGGTCAGAGTGCCCACCTTGTCCACTATTTCCCGGTACCTNAACAGGTTGAACGCCGAGATCATCGCCGATACCCTCACCAGCTTTTCCTCGGCCAGGGCGAGTTCGCGCGCGTCGATCGACGGCCTGGTGCCGAGGCACGGGGTCAGAGTGCCCACCTTGTCCACTATTTCCCGGTACCTGGCTTCGGCGGAGAGGTGGAGCTCTTTCGCCCGGGCCCTACCGGTCTCCAGGGCACGCTTCGCGTCTTCAGCAGACAGCACCGCCATGACGTGGGGCGGCAAGAGGTCNGCCGAGGCACGGGGTCAGAGTGCCCACCTTGTCCACTATTTCCCGGTACCTGGCTTCGGCGGAGAGGTGGAGCTCTTTCGCCCGGGCCCTACCGGTCTCCTGGGCACGCTTCGCGTCTTCGGCAGACAGCACCGCCATGACGTGGGGCGGCAAGAGGTTGTCGGAGGATGCCAAGGTCTGGAGGGACGAGCTGACGTAGTCGAGGTCGCCGGCGAAGTGCCGCTCGAGCACGAGAAGATCTCTGTACCACTGCGCCCGAAGCCCGTTGGCCTTCTTCAGGCACGCCTCGTGCTTTTCCAGGAGTTTGGCCAGCTCGACGTCATCGTGCGGGGGGCAGTGGAGGAGCGATTCGCGCGAGAGGCCGTGGAGAAGGGCGTCCTTCTTAGCCTCGGCGGCGTCCGCCTGCGCCCGGGACTCGGCCAGCTTCCGCTGGACGTCGAGAGTGGTCGCACCCGCCTCTTGCACGACCTTGGCAATCTCGGCGGCGTTCGCCTTTTGCTCTTGGTCGAGTTCCGACAACCTCTGGCCGCGAGAAATAGCATCGAGAAGGTCGGAGGCGAGGATGGCCGCCCGCTTGGTAGCCTCGTGCAGCTCCCTCTCGGCGGCGTCCAAGGCAGCGCGCATCGCGATCTCGTGGTCCTGTGCGTCCTTGAGGAGAAGCTTCAGGTCTGATTCGTAGGGGGGCCTGCGGACGACCGGCACCTGATGTTTCATGGCCTTGAGCGCGGCGGGCGTAAAGCCGGTCGGGGCGAGGGTCGGCGAAGGAGCGCTGTACGTGTAGGTTGCGGAAGTGACGCCGCTGCTGGACTCCTGAATTCCAAGAACCGCAGTGTTGGGAGCGGCGGAGAACACACAGCGGATGTTTGCGCGTCATGGGGGATACAAGCTGCTATGCCATACTGCTCCATATTCTGGGTGACATGTGTGTGCAGACAGAATGACGCAGGTAGGTTCGTGTTCGCTGCAGGATGAACAACTGCTGTGCCTCAGACAGAGAGAACAACAACGCACACCCTCCCTTCCCCGTACGAGCTGTTGCGTTTGCGTTGTAGAATCTCTCAATAGCCCCCGCGGGCGGATCAAATGTACACTCAGCGGCAGCACTTTCGGTCTACAGCAGCAGGACACTACAAGAAAAATGACCCGATCACAGGGTGTCATTTCTACATGTAGTGCGTACGTACGTTCCCGGTGACCTTGTATGCGCTTGCAAGAAAAAACGGATTTGCGCACATACAACAGGTAGGTGTGGTTGTGTAGATATTGGCTGCCCGCCGGTGGGAAGGCATGATGGACCCTACAAGATGGGGAAAGTGAGGCGCACGGACGATACAAAACAGCAACAGCTCGTAGCAGGGCTACAACGAAAGACAAACTGCCTGTGTACCGAAAGCCGATGCAGAGAAAACGGTCCTCCTGAAGACGGAACCAAGGTTACCGGTATAGTCTATGGTATGATTTTGACAAAGCGAGGAGGCACAGAAGGTGAGATCGCAACATTTCGAATATCGCGCCACGCCGTATAGCCCTGTGCCGCAAGGCCTTAGGGTATGACACACTACGCACACCGCTCTCTGCCCTAATGGGGAAAAGATTCGCTCGCTTGCTGTGCTTTTGCTGCGATGCTGTGCGCCAACCGGTACCAAAACTGGATGCAGGTTCATGATCGATCGTAGTTGGTCAAGTGATGTAATCTGTACAAGCCAAGCCCAGCGCCTGGTTACACACTAGCAACACACACGGCCAACTACTTAAGTGGGGTGTCATGAAGCTCTCACCGTCCGGCGCCTCTTGGTAAACTCGCACATCTTCAGGCCCGACGAATATCCGAAGGGCGGCACGTAGTACGCCTCGGTGAGGCTGCGCTTCTTTCCCTCCGGGCGGTATCCGCTGAAGTTCTCGATGCTCTCCGTGCGGGCCATGGTTATGCTGCTGTCGTTCTTGCCTTTGGTGCTCGTGTAGATCGGGTCTGGGTGTCTGTGCAATCCCTGGT